AGTTTGTTGTCTTGTCTCTGTATTCTCAATACTAATAAAGAGCGGAGGATGAGCCAGATCAGACCAAGAAATTCCCCATGTAACAACAATGTCCTTTATATCTATCTCGTTTTTGTAAAACCTTTTGATCTTTATTTCATTTTTTACAATGACATTAATACAGCTATCGAAGATCCAGAGCTTCTGCATTCAAGAAAGAGGTTTCCTTTGGCTTCCAAACAAAGAAGCAAGAAAGCGAAGACGAGTCAGAGAGGTATTATGTTAAAGGAAGATGTTGTAAAAGAATCTTGCAGAAGATTCGAGGACTATATGATCCATATGATCGTTGAAGAAGGGAAAACTGATGACTTGATGGACATGGAAGAGCTTCTTTTCTATTGGAATAATCTTAAAGATCCTATCTTCATTGATCTTGTGACTAGATTCTATGGAGAGCTCTGCATAGACTTGTTTCCTTGCGACCATGATGGTTAAAAGACAATGCCACTTAACGAGCCTCTTAGTTCGGCCCATTGGGCCAACTATACAGCTTGACTTTTTAAGCATTGTCTCATTATTTCATGGATTGTTGAAGAACACAAAAGAAAGAGTGATAACTTGTATATTTTTTTATATAATAAAGAAGGGACCTTGTTCATTGAATCACATGATCTGGAACAAGATAATACTCAGTAGCTTCCATGAAGCATGGAGATTTTAAATATACAAGCTCTTTTACTAGCTCATTCAAAATAATATAAGACCAACAAAAATTCAAAACTTTTGAATCTGAATCTAAACCTTCTTAAATTAAAAGTCAAAAGTCTTTTTCTTTTTCATTTTCATAGTTCTCTTATAGTTGAGCAAAACCAAGAAACAAAATCACTTCCTCTTAAAAAGTGTCCAATGCCTCAATTGGATCGTTCTAGCCTGGAACTGATCGTCTCCGTGGTCGTCGACGGCGACTATTACGGTGGATTCTCCGCCGCAGTACCCTTCAAATGGGAATCTCAGCCCGGAACTCCAAGAAGACTCTTCAAACGATCTTCACCTTCCGGTCTCGATTCTGATTCCGAATTCAATTCTCCGGTTCCAGCTCCACTCACACCTCCTCCTTCCTACTTCCAAGCTTCTCCGTCCTCTACAAAACCTAAAAAAGCAAACACTCCGTTCGGTTCCTTGCTTCCCAAGAATCGTAGCTCCTTGTCGTCTCCAGA